TTACGGAGTATTTACAAGTGTAATGTATTTTTAAAGGGTATACAAGGTAATTATACGGTGCTTTAAAAGATTTTTCATTATTATCCCCCCTGTAGTAAAAAGGTAGCACGTGATAAGTTGGCATGCCTGCAGATCGGTTTTACAGGATACAAGAAATGAGTAAATTTGATAATATATTTTAAATACCTTATTAATACGTTGTAAAACGTTTTAAAATACATTGTAAAACCTTATAAATACCCTGTAAAAAACCTTTAAAATACCTTGTAAATTTTTCCCGCCAAAAATTTAACGCAAAAAAAATTGCGGAATCACTTTTCCCGCAAAAAAAAATTTTTGGCGGGAAAAAATTTTACGAGAAAATTTTACAAGGTATTTTAAAGGTTTTACAAGTTTTTACAAGTGTTTTGGCGGGAAAAATTGCGGGATCACTTTTCCCGCCAAAAAATATTTTATATTTTGTGGACCTAATTTTGTTATATTTCCTTATATATTTGTGATATCTTTTATTAAAAGAAGGGTAATTTAGTCATTTTGTACATAAAAGGGGTATTTTTAAAAATGGACAGCCAAATGGGGCATTTTTGAAAAGGGGTATTGAAAAAGGGGCATTTTTGTGAGTCTCCCTTGTTTAAATATGGCATGTTATATAGAATATTAGTTATTTATAGAAATATACGGTTTTGTACTGTAATATGTTGACCCCGGTAAAAAAAAATTCCGGGTCCATAACTATAAATATCTAAATTATTAAATATGGAATATCCGGTGTATAAGTTGGGTTAACTATAACCCAACCCAACAAACTTTTTATGACCAAAATTTGTAAACGGATCGGGTATCCAAAGTATCCGAGAAAAATTTGACCCATCCGACTCAAAAGTGACTGCAAAAATACTAGTATAAACTAGATTTTAACCCGCGGTACACCGCGGGATGATTTAATTTTAAAGTTAGTATACAAATATTTTGTAAATTGTATCTCCTTATAACATATTTATTTATATTATAGTTTATAATTGTTATTAAGTAACGGTATACCACGAGTCCACGAGATAATTATTAATAAACTGAGGATTTAATCTGTATTAAAGCGGTATATAAATATTGATTCAAATTCGTCCGCCATATAAATCATTTCCGAAATATAACCCGTTCCGTAGTTTCTTAACCCGTACTGTGATTTGTATTAAAAAGAATAAGGATTAAATCCGTATTGAAGCGGCGGATTAATGATATTTTAATCTTTTTATTATTGTTGATTCAAAAACCCGTCCCGCCAAACCCATCCCGCCAAAAAACTCATTTATTTTATTAATGTTCTTATTTATGATATGATTCTGAATCATTGTCTAAATATTTTAATCGATGTAGAACGTTGAACACACATTTTCGTCAATTGGATAATATATGTCCGTTTTTAAAATTTCGAATCACAGTATATGCAGAAAAAAAATTGATTTTTTTTACTTTATGTATTATATAATGATTCAAAACAGTTAAAAACAAATCAAACAAAGATGATAGGAGAATCATAATTATAAATCTTAATCAAATCTTCTAAAAATCTAAATTATTAAATATGGAATATCCGGTGTATGAGTTGGGTTAAATATAACCCGACCCAACAAATTTTTTGTGAAGGAATTTTTAAAATGGGTCGGATATCCGATATACCCGAAAGCTTTTTTACCCACCCGTCACAAAAAGTGCTGCGATTATACTAGTATAGATGATGCATATTCAATATTTGGAAACTTAGAGTAAATTTTGGCTATTTTTATGAAAACACTAATATATATATATACAAATTTACATGATTATTAACTTATGATATTATTGGGAACATATTTTTATATAGGGATTTCAAAAAAATTATTATCTTATTATCTTATCGAATTTAGTTAATTTTTACATTGGCCCGACTCCGGACCGGTAAAATTTATTAATTTATCGTGTTTATTAATTTAAAGAATATTAATTTATAGAGATTCTATTATAGATTGCTTAGGTAATCTTTGAAATACCCGTAATTAATTGAATTATTATGATCTTATTGTTTAGGTAATATTTGAAAACCCGGTTTGATTACCATTGACCCGCGTGATTAAAATGAATGACATGCATGGATTTATTATGTTTGTGATTAGAGATTTGTAAAAGAAAGATTAAATGAATGACGTGGAATAAATATGGTATGATTATAAATTTGTAATGGCATATATTGTAATTTCTTACAAAACTTTATGTTATAACTTATAGATATACTTCCCAAATAATAGTATATGATATGATGAAACAACGTTGGCGAAAAAATGCGGTCCAAATATACAAACTCAAATACGAACAAAGCATACTTCTATTATTTTTTCGGATTTAAAACCCTTAACACTTTAGTAAAAAATTCTAGTTATGAAGATATATTATAAAGACGCCAGCATCGTGACCGTAAGCAGCCACGAAATATGTAATGGAGAACAGAAATGCCTAAAGATTTTTTTAGATTTTCGTTTGGTTTTAGAGGCCTTTAACTTATTTGTATTATTTAATAAATATTGATATACATACCGCATATGATGCTTCTTATTGAAATATATATTCACGTCCTTTATGCAGGTCCGTGTGTTATATATATATGTGTGTATATGTAACATGATCACACATTAGTAAGGCTTCTGGTTCGCATAATTCCCCGGAGGATCATAATTGCAACTGATGATGGTTCCACCACCATTGTTACACCTCACTTTAGCACATCCGAGTCTCACCGAATTTCTCCAAACGACCTGAGTGTAGTGTCCGCAAACTCCATTGCACGTGTTTGTATTATAGTTGTAGTTAGCCTTCTCGTTTACCCACAAATTCACGGCAGCAACACCAGACAAATCACCGCCACTCTTGGCCAAGTTCTCCCCGTAAGGGCCACCGGAATGTACGAGTCTGCAGTCGCCTTTTAGTTGGTTTGTGTAGTTCCGAGCGTAGGCTGCAAGTCCCTCGTCCCATTGCAAGGGGCCTACGCCTACCTGCGATCGTGCCTGGTTGTGAGAATTTACATAGTCTTGTTGGCTGTCTTGAGCCTTCGAGGGAACAACAAGAGCACCTACAAGGGCTGCCAAGATTATTAGAATTCGAGAGGAGCTAGTGACTTTCATTTTTCTTAGCTTGATATGATAGCTATTATCAAGCTTAGTTTGTGTTGTGATTTTGGGGTTCGTAAACATAGTTTATATAGAGATTTGAAAACTATCTCACGTTTTGTGTGGCCATAAAAAATAAACAAAGTCTTGCAAAAACATATATAGTTTAACCTCTTTTATGGGTTTAAACATTCACCTTTTGATACGAGACAAAACATACACCAACATTTAATACGGTCGGTAACTAGTCGGGAACACCCTAACCCATAGGTATCAATTTCTTCTCCCATCTTCATATAAAAACAACTTTTAAAAAGAAACATCAGAAAATACCAAAAATATTAATCAGCTTAAATAAAAGAACAAACAAATTTAAACCAAGATTCACAAAACTAATTAAAATTTTTAATTTTGACCAAATTTTCATATTTTTGAATTTAATTGAGCCAAGATTTTTAGTTCAGTCTAACTTGGATACCCTTCTTTCATAACTGAATAACTGAAGTTCATCAATTTGTGAAACAGAATAAGACCGATAAGACCAATATAATGCCCAACCTTATATTATCTCTTCAATCTTGTATATAATCTGAACTAAAATCCGCAAAATAAATTTTTCAAACTAAAATTTTAGAGATTGGCATAAATACATTAGAAACAAAAAATTTTGCTGACCCAAAACCTAATTAACAAATCTAAATGAAGATATATAATATTAATCAATATTTTTCTTTTATTATTAATTTTATCTAAATCGGAACCAAACTTAAATCAAATCTGAACCTAAATAAGATTTAATTAAAATCTGAACTCGTTTGAAACGAGCCGTGCATACCCAAAAAAAACAAATATACACAAGCCTAAAATATTCTGTAATATACAAAACAAAATTTATAATGTAAAGAAAAGTAGTTAACTTGATTATTATTCCTGTAATTATGTCAGTGACACTATTACAATTTTGTTGTTTCCAAATCCATGACAAGGAAGAAATTAGGTTTAAAAAAACATTCATCAGTATTGGTTCGTTAACAAATCGAATCAGTTAAATTAAATCACGATGATTGGTTTCACCATATCAACCGAATTACCCAAACTTTGGCTCACTTCAGTTTGCTAATTTTGTTCAGTTTGGAACTTTGGATATATCTTTTTGTCATATGTGGTGTTGGAGAATACAATGAAAACAATTAAAAAAATCGTGAGCATCCTAAAAACTCTTAACTGTGAATTTTTATATTTTTAACAAAATGGATCATATCATTTACATTCTTTAATATTGGGGCTGCCTATAGCGTTACACCTATACTATAGCGTTTCAACTCCTATCCACCTGTACTTTCGACCTCTGCCCAATTCACCCTATACTTGTTTTAAACTTCCTAATTCCACCTAAACTATTAAATTCTCCATAATTAACCAAAATCAAGAATTCTCTATAATTGCAATTAAAAATCGTTCAAATCGCGTTTACTGTAAGCCAACCCGAGTCAGATCCGACCAACTTCGAAGACTTCTTTCACCATAAAGGTTTGACTCGTGTTCATTTGTTTTGTCGGGTCAACTTCGGATTAATATAAACACAGATTTTTTACTGCAAGTTGAACGATTTTTAATCGTAATTATAGAGAATTCTTGCTTTTGGTTAATTATGGAGAATTTAATAGTTTAGGTGGAATTATGAAGTTTAAAACAAGTATAGGGTGAATTGGGCAGAGGTCGAAAGTACAGGTGGATAGGAGTTGAAACGCTATAGTATAGATGTAACCCTATAGGCAGCCCTTAATATTGTAGTTTACTTTTATTTATCTCAAAAGGTAAGGATTTTCAAACCCATTAAAAATAGGTTTTTAAAGCATTTTTGAAAAAAGTGGAAGCTTCTTTCTTTAATCATTTTCCAAGCTTTAATTATTAGCAGCGACATTTGCTGGATATTTTAAAAGTCGAGTTGCCATTATTAGAGCTAGATTATGTACCCGCGCGTTACGCGGGATTTTAGTTTTAATTTTTTTATCAATGTGAATCTTTGGATATAAATCTAATCAATTAAATTTTATTTTATTTTACTTTATTCATGTGCATTATCTTTCCATAGTAGTAAAAACATTATCTCACTTTTCACTACAATTTTTTCTGTTATCTTCTATGATATACTCATCGTCTCCCGACATCGACTCTTTTCACCTTATATTGACTCACATAGAATATACTCAATTGTGAATTAGTTATCAAGATAGATTTTATATATTTTCTCCTCGCTATCTTTAAATACTCAATCTATTTTAAACGTTGCATGATAAACTTGCTATCATAAGGTTTCTTTAGCCATGTTTTGGTGCATGTAAAATTGTTTTATAAAAAATATATTACATATATAAACTCATTCTTATATATTCACAAACATCGGATTTTAATATCAATTTTTTTTAATTTATCTTGACTGTTTGAAAAATACAAAATTCTCTTTTCTAAAATATGTAAATTAAGAAATCATAAAAATTATTCTAGTTTTTAAATACGTTTATTTTTTATAACAAAATCATTGTTATTTCTAATTTCTAAATAGCATTCTCAAATATTATTATTAGAAAGTTTTATTATTCGAGTAGATTATTTTATTTTTATTTGTGATGTTTAGGATAGTTTTTTGTTTTGTTTCAAATCAGCTTCATTTTTTTCAATCTATGTTAATTTTATAAACACTAATTAATAATTAGTTTTTCTTTCTTAGGTATTCATTTTTTCATATAAAAAATGTTCACTTTTTAATTGAGAAAACATTAATAATATATACAAATTTATTAATTTAACTATTTATATTATATTATAATTATAAATGATAATATGTATTCATTCCTTCTTATTTTTTAATTGGTATCATGAATTAATACTTAAAACTTAACAAATATATTCTCAAATTCTAAATATGTATTTTTTAAAAATGAAGTACTTTTTTTAGTTAGGACCTTTAAATTTGGTATTTTTTAACTCTTATTTTTTTAGTTCAACTAAATAATTATAACTCTTAAAAGTGATTGTTTTATAGTCCTGGACGTTTGTTATCCAATCGGTTTCGGTTCGGTTTCATTCGGTTCTAGAGTTTAGTATCTATTCGGGTATTCTAAAATTTTGGTTCGGTTCCGGTTCTTTCAGTTTTATAATTTACTATCCATTCGGGTATTTTGCTTCGGATATTTTTGGATATTTCAGTTATTTTTGAATATTTTGTATACTTTTCAGTTATTTTCTAGTATTTTTATATAGTTTTGAGGTATTTTTGATTATTCAGTCTATAAAAAAACTAATATTTTTAGATATATAATTATATTTTGGGTACCCGAAATATTTCGGATCGATACCGATTCGGTTCCGGTTCTTACGGTTATAGAATTTAGTATCCATTCGGATATTTTCAAATTTATGCTCCGGTTTGGTTCTTTATGCTCCGGTTTGGTTCGGTTAATTTGTCCAGACCTTGTTAAATTAAAATATATCATAAGTTTCTTTTTCCTAACTCTAACCATTTAAAAATATTTATTCATTATATGTTAAGATATGATTATCTAACTTTATATTTCTCTAATCTCAATTCAAAAGTTTTATATTTTGTGTTGTATATTTATTTTTTTCGTTTTTTTCATATTTAATTTATTTTTTGTAAATTATTGATTTTTAATGAAAAGTAATAATTTAAAATGTGTGAATTAATTTAGTTTTTGTTTTAATAAATAACATATGTGGAGCCTACAAAAATAATAAAATGTGATGACATGGATGCTGATGTGCACAACTTAGATGGAGAGACGACTCTCTCATTATATATATAGATTTGCAAATACTTAGAATCTTATTTTTTTGTCCAACGTAAAAGATAAATTTATTAAATTTATTAGAAATTTTTGTTGGAAATTTATTAAATTTATAAATATAACCCTTCAAATACTCATAATTATAAAACTTACATTTCAAAAAAAAAAAAAAAGAATTGCAAAATTCAGTCGTATTTATGAATCGCACGACTGTTAAAAAAACATGGCACACTACCCCATTACGAAACCACATAAATCTATCGTATTATTAATGTTTCTGTTTCTCATTTCACATTTGTTATAACAACAAAATCACAGTTTAATATATACAAAATGCGATTATAAAAAAGAAAATTAATAGTGAAATGTCATGAAAAATAGTGTTCCATGCATGTATCTCTTTTCTACCATCTTGCTTATGTTTGATCTATGAACATCTATATATGCCGTCACATCTAACATGGAAAAATATCAGACACATGTACCCGTAAAGATAGTAACATGAAGCCTTACCTTGATAATATATAGTTTTTTAAAAAACAAAGATAAATTTATCAAAAAAAAAAAAAGCAAAAAGAGAAAAACTAAAGCATAATCCATGAGGGAATAAAACAAAGCCATCTTGACATGTTAACTAAAAAAGTCCTTGAGACCGACAATTCCATGGTAATCGTTACTTGCTTCTTGCAGCGGCTATGGAATAATCAAAGCTGCTTATTGAATGAGGTTGGTTAAATTAGGCAAATATGATATGACACATCATGAAAAAATAAAAAATTGTTATATACAAAAATTGTCTACGAGTTTCTTCGTTTCTAAATTTGGAAAACCATATTAAAAAAACTCAGTTTTGCATATGGATGTGAATTTATATATATATCAAAATGGCGTAACAAGGTATTTTTACGTTCATGATACTTGCAGCGACTATGATCTCGTCAGTCGTCAACATGGAATTATCACAACGCCTGCTTCTTGAATATGGCTGCCTTAGGCCCTCTCAAATCTTATCTATACAGCATATTCGATTGGAGGAAATTAATATAAACTATGATTAATTGTCAATTTTGTCAATATATCAATATTTTCTTAGTATTCCCTGGAATCACTTCTTATTGTTCTGGTCAACTTGTCATTGTTGGACTACTTTTGATGTTATTTTTATACGTAATTAAATTTAAATGAAGTTGAAAACAAGAAATATAGTAAGGAAAACGTTTTATTTTACTAAATAAACAAGTGAAAAGTCATGAAGAATATATATAGTCTCTTAATGTTTCATGCATGCACCTATCCCACTTGCTTTATCTAAGACGCCATGTCTATGACGTAGGCCAAAACAGTAACATCGGATACTATCAGACAAAAACATTCATATGGCCAGAAATGACCAACCATTCTCGACCTTCCTTAAACCGCAAAAGACTACCTATCTTAATTGGATCGAGATTGTTCTTT